ATAGCTACAATGCAGCATTTTGTTGAGTTCTTATGAACATGTTTTAACCCCATTGACTAAGTACTTTTGAGAAGTGCTTGTGATTCACCTGTGTGGTTGTGAAGACTAGCCATCTTCTATGGAAAATTTGGGCGGATTTTCAGAGCTTCCACTAGACCTAAGGTGAATATGCTTGGCTATAAAAGAGCATATCTCTTCGCGGAGTTCAAGTAAATTTTTGGAGAAAGGTATGTGATGTGGGGGTCTTAAATTAAATCTTAGAGTTTCAAGGCTAGTCCACTCCTTGATCAAGAGTCTAAGGGTTTCAAGGTTTGTCCACCCTTATACTTGTAATTCAATGTCTCATTTCACTAAGCACTAGATTTCAAATTACTTATGTAATATCTAAGTGTTATGTATTGATCTCCTCTTATGCCCAATATGTTGCTTATCCTCATCTTTTGTTGGCTTTTCTTCCCTTCCTTTAGTGGGGGATTGTTGGAAATAAAGAAAGGAAATTCAAAGGGTTAGATATGGGCGCCCGACCGAGTGAGACCCGCCTGATCGGGCGCGAGAAGAGTCATAAAATACTGGAGTTCCGCCGCCCGATCGGGCAAGCTTCACCCGATCGGGCGCCCGACTTGGCGCCCGATCTGTAACACCCCCGATTTACTAACTGAAAATAAACAAGAATTGACGGAAAAATAAACAACCTTTAAATAAAATTGCGGAAGCATACACCTAAATCGGAGGTATCACCGCCACACTCAACAACCTGTCGAGTGTTAAGGCTTACAAATCCCAATAAATACAACCCAATAAATCTAGGTGAGCTATTTGTACAACTTTACAAACTGGTTACAACATACTACTCGAAACACTTGAGCTCTTTAGCTACAATCACTTGATAAACCCGCTTAAAAAATCTTGACTGCTTACCATTAAGGACAAATTCCAAAATAGATCGTAGCAGGGCCACCATAAGAAAAAGACATGGCCGCAAACACAAGTAGCAAAACAAAATAACACACACGTCAGCAAAAGCTGAGTAATCATCACATATCAGAATATAGAGTATAATTGAATAATAGACAATACTAGCTCAATTAAACAATGTAGTTCGAAACTACATTACACATTGTACTCTGAAAAATAACCTTTATCAACTCAACCTCGAATAATAATCCTTTACTCAACTCATAACTAATAGTGTGCCATGCTCTTTGTTCTATACCTAGCCTTGGACATGGGTAATTCGAATAAAACCAACAAGTATAAAAACTTGAATACTCCCAATAACCAGAAAATACCTTGAACCAGACCACATACGGGTCAATTCCCACTGTAGGGGACCGTAGAAAAATAAATAATAAAGATTGTACCTCATTCTTAACTCATGATCATTATCTCATTACCAACAAGCCAAGGACTAAGGTCTATAACGCCGAGCCTCAAACCAAGAACAAAATAATAATTCTCAACCTTTTGATCTCATACATCGATCAAATAACCATTCAAAAATTAATTTATAATATCTCAACAATGGCACATGTTCCCAAATAATATAACAAGATAACTCAATTCAAAAACCTCTCAACTCTTAAGGAAATAATACTAGCACCCAAAAATAATTAACTCACAACCCAAAAATAATACTCTGCATTAACAACCCTAAAACCTCGATAACACAATACTCCCTATAGAAACAATATTAGAACCTAGAAAAATAACACAATCAATCAATATCACAAAATAATACGGCAATTAGAATCATATTATATCACACACTAATCATGTATATATATAAATCATGATCATATATAATTCACAAATTATAAAATTTACACATAACAATACGGAGTAAAATTAATACTAACAATTTATAATCAAACAAATAAAAATAAATAATTACGGTAGTGTGATTACACATAATAATTAATACAATCAAATTAATCAAATATCTCCAAATTGATAAAGTGTGATTACATATAATAATTAATGTGATCAAACAACTCCAAAGGGCTGAGCGTGATTACCTTCAATGAACTGCAATAGAACTATCATATCCGAAGTATGGTATAAGGGACGAAATAAATTGGCAATCTTGCAGTTCACGGCTTTGATTTCCCAAATATATTGTGCACCTTCTCTTTTAATCTTATTATATAATACAAATACAATTAATACATATAATGATGGATATTAGAGAATAAAACAAAAAATTAATGAAGAAGAATCAAATAGAATTTTTTACAAAAATCAATTTTGGGTTTGGTTAACAAATCCCACGCATTAGAACGAAAACGGCTGCTTTCTTCTTTTTTTTTTTATTTTTTTTTATTCAATAACTTTATTAGGGTTTAAGAATAGTTTATATACGTTTAAAATTGTAGAGTCCTATTTAAATTAAAATAGAGTTTTAAACCTTTCCGAACTCTAAAATAAAAATATAAAAAAATATATAATATAAAATCATAAAATATTCGGGTATTACACGATCGGGCGAGCCCCGCCCGACCGGGCGCGAGAAGACGTCTGGAAAAAGGGAGTGTCCGCCCGATCGGGCGCGTGTTTGTCCGTTAGACTCCAACGGTTCCCTTGGATTCCTCTTCTTGTTTGATTTCTTATAACCCCCCATTTAAGAGGTTGATTATGGTGTTTTCAATAACCATAATATATATTTCTGATTTCTTTTCTTTGTTCATAGAAGATTCCTCCATGATCTTTCATCTTCTTCCATCATTCATTTCTATAAATTGGAGGATGTTTTCTGATTTTGAGATACACAAGAAATACATATCAAACACAAGCTTGCTTAAACACATACTCTATATTGGGCATAAGTTACTTGGCTCCAACCTTCCACCCAAAGTGTCTTTGTGTGAAAGTGGTGTGTTAACCTTAGGGAACGTGCCGGCGAATACAATAGTGTACCCCGGTTGCGCCGGAATTTCGTTTTCAAGTCAGTGATTTGCATCACGACACATCATACTCTTTCATTGCCTCAAGATCATCTTTTCGATCTTCTTATTTTAGAATATAGCCTTGAAAATACTTCTTATATTACAACAGGTACAACTTAAAGTCCACCCTCGCCCCATCACCTATTGCAGATATGGTTTTTATCCCCATCTCCGCCCCACCACCCGCCAAACCGAGACTTATCCCCATCCCACTTACATTCCTACTCCTTATATTAAACCATGTAAAAATGGAGGAATAATTATAAGAACAATAGATTTGAAAATTTAAAAGTTGAGGGGGAAAAAACATATGGTAAATCATACCGGCCACTTTTGACATTACATTAGAATCATAAGAGCAACTACAATGGTTGGCTAATTTATTTAATAGTTTGGCATGCCACATCAACTTCTTAAGCTACAACAATTCAAGCTATTTGTTGCTCCAATGGTTAAACTAGTTGTAAATTAATTAATTTTCAAATTAATAATATTTTTTATCTAATAAATATTTGCCAAGCTAATTTGCTTGCCAAAGCTAATCAACAAGATTTGCAACAATGATGTAGCTACTAGCTTAAGATTTTTAATATTTGCAAGCTAGTCCCTTTTCCCAACCACTGGAGTTGCTCTAAGTCATCCCTAAAGCAGATGCCATGTTTGCTACGCGTGAAGTTCGTCGTCCAAATTATTTTATGGATATATTTCATGAGCATGATTTCTAGTCAGAGCAACACATATTTTCTAAAAAGGGGGAAAAGTCAGATTAACACATACAAATGACAATTGCTTAAAAAATAAAATATAGTATAAAATAGACTATTACTATTTTAAAAAGTTGTCCCATTGAATTTGTTTTGGATTAACTTTTAAAGCTTTGATCATTCTTTATATTGAAATATACATAAATCAATAAAATAGAATGTATATTACTATTTATTATCTACAAGGTTAATCAATATGTATTGGTGTACTGTATATTTTAAACTAGATATTTTTATGATTTTTTTAAGGAGTATTATGATTAGATATTAAAATTGTACTCCGTAGTACTAGGAAGTTTAAAACAAATTGTCATTTATGAAACTTTTGACTCCATAATTTTTCAATATTGTTTTCTTCTACATTTGACATAACATCTATAAGAATTATGACATTTTTTAACTAAAGACATATAAATAGTGTATAACTCAAAATATTTCTCCATCTATCTTATTTTATAAAATAAGCATTAGTTTTTTTTTTTTTTTTTTTTTTTTTGAAATCTTGATATATTAAATTCGTCACAAGGAGAAAGTGTCATACTTCATTGGAGTCTCTTACACCCATTTCAAGTTAGCGAAAAAAGATAAGAGAATCCTCACCCCTCAATGAGCCTCTTGCGGGAATTAATCTGTAAGGTTGTGAGTTTATGACCCAACCCTTACTACTAAACCAGGTACCGATGAATAATTTAGTTACCAAATAAAGTATTAATTACTTTCTTAATTATATTAATATTCTGAAACAAAATGAAATGATGAAGAAGATTTTGCCAAAAGTGCCACCAAACTATTTTGGAAAAAGCCAGTTGGTGTAAATTAAAGTGAGCAATCTTACCGTTTATTTTGTAATACCAAGTGGATGGATCAACACAGAATCTTGAGCATCTGTAAAGATATTCATCTTCAAGAGTATCTGTATGAATGTGGTTGGTGCACCAAATTAACCATTTTCAAGTAGGATTCTATTGAAATAAACCATGTGTTTAGCTAATTTAAGCAATTAAGATTGTAACTATCTTTTGTTCATAGTTTTTTCTACTAATCAAACGAATCGAAAGTAAGTATCCCATGATCATGATAAGCAATTTGCCAAAAAGTATATAAATAATGCAAAAGTTAAACTGTTGCATTTATTACAAAACGGAGGTAAAATACGAGTAAAGCTAGCTAACATGTGTCTGATGTCTTCATTTTAAGTTGTTGACACAATTCCTCTGCCGTTTGCCCAGAAAGAAAATTTAAAAAATTATTGTGGTTAATCGAGTTTGTCGTGTGTAGCAAGAGTACTTCGTAATTCAATTGAACCATAAATTCATGTTAATAATCAATCATACTGAATAATTGATTATGTAGCAGAACTCAAATCTATCCGAGTTTTAGTACAAACAAATTTCACTCTGTTTTCTTTTCCATTACAACAAAAATTACAAATACGTAGTAAGATAAATATCATTACAACTATAACAACCAGCGCAGATTATGAATTCTAAAACATTACACTAGCTAGCCTGCCTCGTGCAACACACACGCACTAACCGAGCAACTCCTAAAAGGAAATACAAGCATTGTGCATTCCTGGTAGCTCCGCACAAGATTAGTTAACAAGACGGCTTCTATACCAATTTTTTTTTCAAGAAATCTACCAACTGGGTTGATCTTCCAAACTCATGACCGCCACCACGTCATATGTTTTCTTTCTTCAATTTATTTGGCTAATGCCAATTTGCTTTGCTTCAGTATGACATTACAGTAATATGCAGGCTTGACACACCAATAAAAGGCCACATCATTGCCCTCTTGAAAAAGCATTCTACATATGGCACTGTTTGTATTAGTTGCATACTAGCACTGATATAAGCTTGAACATTGATAGGGCAGGGGTCCAGTTGATTCCAGTACCCAGGTTGCTTGTTAGAATCATCGATAGTAGGCCATATGTCTTGACGATCTAAATGGTGAAGCATCAAAACCAGATGATTTTTGGGTATGAGTATTAGTAGTGGTAACAGGTTTCTTCTTCTCCAGCTTAGTCTCGGAACGCAGCCATGACTCAACCACCGAAAGAAGATTGGTTGAACTCTTCAATTCATGAAGCTCTGATAGCTTCTCTACCCTCCTCAACTCGCCCTCCTGGATATAGGCCAGATGAGTTGCCCAGGTCTCCAAACCATCAAAGATATGGGTTGCATAAACGATTGTAGCTCCCCTCTGCATGTTGCCAAAGAATGATCGAATTAAAAAAAAAAAAAAAATGCAACTTGCCAGGCAATAGTAAAATGGCCATGGGTAGCAAGACAGTATCTCATACCTGATCACACTCTTCCTTTAAGAATTCAAGCAAATCCATCCTGGCAACTACATCAAGATCGACGGTAACCTCATCCAACAAGAGAACCTGCAGCATACCAAAAGTTCCAATCAAACATGAAGCCATATGATTATAAAAAATTAAATGATAGTGTAGAAAAAAAAAGAATATAGGAGGAATAAAAAATGGTCATACAAAAGGCTATAAAAGCCAAAAGCTAACCAGCTTAGTGTACCAAAGACTATATTTTGACTCACAACATCACACAATAACACTAATAAAAATATGAAACACAGAAGTTTATCTTATTGGAAACTCAACTTTCAAAGAAAATCTACATCAATCGACAGGTTTCAAAAGGAGACATAGGGCTATTAATAATCAAAATCAACTGAAGGAAACAGAAGCCAACATCATGAAATCACTGGTGTCTGTCACAAAATAGTTGGCGTCTATGCAAGGTGAAGACATAGAGTTCATCATGACTGGATTAATCTATGTTCCATTTCAACATTAAGCAAAATTTTGAACATTTTAATAAAATCAGTAGGTTACTGAAGAAATAAAACACAAGTTACCAGAAGGGAAGGTGGAGTACGAGACAGAAGAAGGAAATAAACATAATTGTAAGAGTCAGGATACCTTGAAGGGGTGAAGAAGACCCATGCAGATTTGGACTCGTCTTCGCTGACCATCAGACACCTTATGCATTCTCCATTGTAAATCAATATCAAGCAACTCAACTAATTTCTCTCTTCTATCAGGATCAGTGCCTTCAACTGCAGTAGAAAAAGGAATAGGTTTATAGCCTGAATACAAAATGCAATCGCTAATGTGCTGTTACTAGTTATGCTTATTTAGGGTACAGCTTTATGAAGCAATTTTTTGTGCAATGGAAGAGATAATATTCCCAGTTAACTATTTCTGCATATTTGAATGATGCATCCATTTGATCTTTAACTCTTACAACATGGGAGCCATGAGGCGTATAAATTTTTGTGCAACAAAAATAGTTTAAAGTCAAATCTTACTTTCCCTAAAAAAAAAGTCAAATCTTACTTGGACAAATAGAAACAGCAGAGAATGTTATTGATGATTGTTAAGAGGAAAGTGTGCAATGGTACAGTCGCAGTGTGCATGGCCATTCTGTACATTCCACGGTTTCCATACAGATTTTGTCTTAGTTGGGATAAATTCAATTAGCTTGCTACATGTACATTAATCTTTTTACATGGCATTGAACTATTGTTCCAGTTTGTAACGGATTATTCAGGTGAGTGAAATTTATCAATCAATTATAATCTCCTTGAAATTTCTAAGCTGGACCGGGTGAAGGTATACTAGCTTTAATACAGACCCAACTATGAAGTATGATGGCTAGAAACATCCAAGGTAATTGTAGAGTTGAATAAGCAACAACAATTATGTTTCCAAGCCACTTTCTTCAATATGTAACTGCTGGGGAGAATATCTATTAAAAACAAGGTTCCTAAAATGCCTGATAATGGGCATAAGGATAAGGACATACCTCCAAAGATCATCTGTTCAGCTGAAATGTCTCCTTGGAGAGGAACATCACCCTGAAATTTATAATAAGAATAAAGCTTACAAGCTGCAAGTTGTAAAATAACAAAATAAATAGTAATGAGCAAGAGGTGCAGTAAACAAAAGAGTAGCATCAAGATTTTTTTCCCCTTGTCGCTTTAAATGGTAATTCAGATGAGGTACAATATTTTTTAAGAAATAATTTACAAAGATATCAAAAAGTATATAAATTTTCACAATTACTAAGCGTATTCCTCTCAGGAACTCGTTCACATCAACAAAAAAATGCAAATAAAACATATGTTGAAGAAATTTGTCTTTATAACAATCCACAATTTGTTCTTATCTCTGCTATATTTCACAGTCCATCCCTACCTCCACAACTCCCTCCCCAACCACATCTAAGAAAAGAACACATGCGCTCACTTTCATGCATAGTATTGATGTGCCTTGTAGAATTAAGATTCAAGTGCTCAGTCCACACAACCAAAAAAAAAAATGAAAATGAATATTAAAATTTGCTCCCTTGTTAACAAACCAAAATTGAACGACCCTAATGCCTTGTATTGTGAAAATAAGCGTATCTATGAAACGTGAAGATGTTCAAGAGTAATTTTTAAAAAGAATATCTTACACTAATAAAACTATGAAAGTTAAGCTATTTTCCCTCACTCTCCTACATATTAATTACGATCTACAAAGGTACCCACATTAAGTCACAAAGGAAAGAAAAAAATTACCTTGAGCAATCCATGTCAAAGTATTAACAAATTGTTATTATTAATCAATTACCTAGCACCATTAGCTATGAGAACCTCTAAGAGCGATTTTTACCCAAGCATGTACATATGCACAAGGTAGAGAGAATTTGGGGGGTGGCCTAATGGGCATAACATGATACAAGGCGACTAATTACAGTCTTACAAACTGTGTATGCATGATTAAGGGGGTGCATTTGTGCATGTGGCATGGGGAAGTGCGTATGACTTTATGAGATTGCAAAACATGTTTTATGTGTATCAGTGTATGCTGTGTGTGTAAAGAGATAAGACGAGGGAGAGAGAGAAACTTACAGCACAGCCAATGGTCTTACTCCAAGATCCTCCCAAATATGCTAAGTCACCACCACAAACAAGATGTGTGTCATGGAAAGCTGATGAATTTAAAACCTGCACGACATCCCTTCCACCAACCATGTGCTTTCCAGCCAGAATCTTCAGCAAAGTAGTCTTACCTACAAGACATAAACCATATCAGCATATTGAAGCTGCTATAGTAAGGATGACAAAGTATAGTCTGCAAAAAGCCTTCCTCTTCTATGATAAAAGGCTCAGTGTCAGGGTGTCCAACTTAGATTACAAGTCGGCAGAAGTTAGGCCATAGAAATCAACACGTTATCGATTCAGAAGCAATACAGCAGCATGATGCTTTGTTATTTTTCCAAGTCGGCATAGTTTGTTATGTTAGCAGAAGAGTTTGTTACTGTAATAATTTTGGTTAGGATTAGGAGAAATTTGCCAGTTAGATTCTTTAATACTATTCTACATTTTTATTTTAACTATCTTAAGGACTTAACACATTACGACACCGTATTCTCCTCTAAATTTAGAAGATACCGTACATATGCATTGGAAGTTAAACACAATCACAACTGGAACTAATTCAAGAATGAGGAATAAGCAAACTTGATCGAATTACAAATTCTTACATGCTATCAAAGCAGGAAGTCCCAATCCAGGTGCAATAATTCGAATTCTTTCTGTTTTTGCTCAGTTTCATTGAGTTGTTAATTGTGATTTGCGAATTCATTCAACATGTAAAACCTAAATCATGCAGATTCTAGTTGGGAAGAAGTTACTATGAAGCTTCTCTTGCTTCTTGTTGGGTCAAAGCTAATGGTACGAGGGAGGCAACCAACAAAGATATTCCTTTCAACATGTAAAACCTAAATCATGCAGATTCTAGTTGGGAAGAAGTTACTATGAAGCTTCTCTTGCTTCTTGTTGGGTCAAAGCTAATGGTACGAGGGAGGCAACCAACAAAGATATTCCTTCTATATGATTCTACCAAGTATAGTAGAATTCTGATGAATTGCTGAGGGAGACATTTAGATGAAAAAATCGTAAGGCAGGCACGCATAGATTTGTAAAATACGTTTTCCTCAGGCGGGTCACAGGCTCAAAATTATCAGAATACAAGAAGCTATAGCTCCTTGCCATAAAACAATTGGACAACAATATTGCTTATTTGCATGATGACTTCTATGAATAGGTTTATATAACTAACAACGATCTTAAATCTAATCAACACAATATTTGTATTATAAATTTCTCTCTATTGCTTAAAGCAAGCCTCAAAATAACGTTTCACTACTTCAGCTGCTTTTAAGTCTTAGGTTTATAAATAGCCAAAGAATGAGTATTCTTTGTTCTTTAGGAGGAAGAATGTATGACTGTCATAGCAGCGTATGTAGATTAAATGTTGGCTACAGGTTTTTAAATCTTTGTGAAGTTGTTTCATTCAAGCATCCTTTACATTCTACTTTTGGCATTATAGTTTAATGTTGTCTTCAATGTTCTATTAGCATAACAGTTAGGTATTTGACCGATAAAATATCTATAACTCAACAAGATTTAGGGTGTGTTTGGTATGGGTTTATTATAGGGAAGGAAACGGAATCAGATTACCGTTTCCGTTTGAATCTGTTTGGTTAATCACTAAAGTAACAATATCCGTTTCTTGGTGATAATTCATTCCACCACTTTATTTCCGCTGTAAAAACCGAGGAAACAGATCACATTACTTTCCTTTATCCCAAAAAATCATCCCACTACCTTCTTCTCTCTCCTCTCGTTCCATAATTCTCCAAAAAATTCCCAAATTTGATCAAACAAATCTCCAGATTTTCGCTCAATTTGATCAATTTTCCTACCTCAAATTTTCTCAAATCAACAATCTTAACACCCAGGTTTGTTATGTATCAATTTTTTTGTTAAGAAAACCCTAGATTTTAAATTAGTGTTGAAATTAATGTTGAATTTGTATATAATTGTCACTTTGTCGGTCTTTCTTCCAAAGCACATACATTACATTTGTTTTACTTATTTGCAACAGCAGCAATCCATCAAATAAAAATTAGAATGTAAAATACAACATGATTTTATTTCGAAAGGTATATACTTTAAAATCAGCTCAAGCCCTCTGATACCCCAAAATTACAGAAATTCAGTCATTAAGAATTAAAAGTAATTACAAATTTACATCTACCAACAAAAACCCGAATCTTAGCTGAAAAAATCATCAATAAAGTAATTACAAACATAGTTGTTTTATAATTGCAATTTGGGATGCGTAGTTTTAAGCTATATATAAAATGAGTGACCCATAAGATAGGCAACATAAAATAAAATGTAGCAATTGATATAAGAAAATATAACGTGGCGATTCAAAAAGAACGAAGTATAACAACAAAAAACATTCCCTTTAAAAAAATTAAACGTAATCAATCAATCATAAAATAGGACAAAAATCATAACTCAAAAAGAAAAAGCAATTTAGAGAAAGAACCAATTTTTTACCAGATCCATTAGCACCAACAAGAAGACAACGAGAACCAGGCGCAATTTCGAGGCTAAAATCGGCGAAAATGGGAGGTTGGCCAGGGTAAGCGAATTGCATAGCTTGAACTTTGATGCTACTGCTTGAATTTGGTGATACATTTTCAAATTGTTGCACCATTTTTTATTGATTGATTGATTGATTTGGTTGAATTTGTGAAAGAGTTGGGAAATTGGAGAAAGTATGAGATGAAATTAGAGGATGTTGTTGGTTATGAGATCTTTTATTTTGCTTTTATGGAGTGGTTCATATCGGGGGGTTGTTGAGTTCGGCACCAAAAATTGAATATGAAAAATATTAAGGGGTAGAGTTTGAGGTTCATAATTCAAATTGTGGCATCCCTATGTCCTTGCATTTTAGGTTATGTTATTAATCATCCTATTAATCATCCATTATTAAAGTTTTGTTTTTGAGTTGAGGTGGCTAAGTTTGCAATTTCTTTTGTACTCTTGGAGTACCATGTATAAGGTACTCCAAGTTGTGTACATTTTATGTTATTTCGATGTAAACTTATTATTATTTTAATTTGTATATATGTTATTTTAAAATTAATTATATGTTTTCTGTATGTACATTCTTGTGTACTCATGAAATAAAAAGTTTATATTATTTCACGTTATTTCAAAATGTGTATTATGTTACTCAGTGGTGTATTTCATGTTATTTTACTATACAATAATATTATTACAGAAATTTGATTGTTGTATACGAATGCTACTCGATTTAGTGCATTATGCTATTTTCTTATAAAAAAAAATAAAAAAAAAGTGCATTATGCTATTTAGTATAATATAAATCTATGTTATTTGGTTGAAAACTTTTTGTTACATAACATTATATTATATGCTATGTTCATCGGGCCATATTCATCTGTTTCGATTTTATTCTCTATTTTTATTTAGCTACTTCCTCTAAAATAAGTTTAAATAAAATAATACAAGTTTTTGGTAAAATAATACAATGTTTAATTAATATATAAAAAAAAAGTTATATTAAAAAAAAATAACACCAAGTTTAAGCAAAATAACATCATACTTAAAAAGATCGTCATATATTATGCTTTAAACCAAAATAACTCAATTAAAAAAAAAAAAAAAAAAAAAAAAAAGCAAAAGACTAATATAATAAATACTAACACAGTACAATGTTTTAGCAAATAACATTATAGTCTAGCAAAATAATATACGGTTCAATCCAAAATAACTCATGGTTTTAACATAATAACGTGTATAGCATGATAGTATGGTACCTAAGGAGTACCATACTCCAGGAGTACTTAAGACTAACTCGGCCAAGATTCATGAGTTCTATGGATCAAATCTCAGGTAGGGGTGTCCATAATTCGGATTAAAACCAAAATCCAATCCAAATCGAATTATCAATTCGAATCGAGTCCAAACTTTAAATCGGATCAGATCGGATTAAGATTTTTTCAAAATTCGGATTTTCGGATTGGATCGGATTGACTTTAATTGGATCCAAACTAAACCGAAAACCGAATTGTAAAATTAAGCATTTATGAATATGTTGTCATGCTATCATAATTAAGCTGTTACCTGCTGATATTTGGTGGTGCATGGTTATGCCTTGTAGTTTGCCGATGAGATTTGGTACATGGATTGTTGTAATGGTACATGGTGTGCCTTGTAGATGTATTAGCTTAATATTAATTAATATTTCCTTGATATTGAACAATTTAATTCAATCATGACTATTTACAAGACTTGTATTAATATAAAGGCTTGAACAAATGTTATCTTTAAAATTGCATTTTTATTTTTATTATCGTATTAAAGGCTAAAAATTAATGTTCTCTATTTCATATTTTCGGATCGAATCCAAATAAAAAAAATTTAATTCGGATTGGATTGGGAGAGTAATAGGATGGGATCGGATTGAAAAATTGAAAATCGAATTTAATTCGGATCGGATTGGATTTGGCCTAAATCCAAACCGAAAATTGAACGGACACCCCTAATCTCATGGGACTCATATGAAAGATTTTTCCTTGACTCTCTCTCTTTAAGCTTTTAGCAGCAAGGTTTTAATTGAGAAGGTGATTAGGATTTATATGGGTTTAAGGTTGTCATCAACTTTACAATCAAAACATCAGCGCACATTGCGAAGCTCTCTTCTTGGAAATATATAAAGATATTGAAAATCACGGCTTGCATCAAGTTTAGAGTGAGATATGTCCAATATGCAAAACAGTTATGATTTTGATTGTAAAAGTTATGTTATTTATGGGTTTACAAATCTTCCATATTATTGTAGATGACGTGCGTGTGACTATTTATTAATGACAATATTCTTCAACCAGTAAAAAAAAAATACAAAGTAATATAATAAAATCAAGCATACTTAAACAAAGAAAAAAACTCCTAAACAGACGATAATATATCCATTACTGCCTATGACCCTTATACCTACTCCATAAATGCTCTACTAAATTGACTTGAGGGTTTGTATGCACAAGTTTATCATGAACAGGAGCTCTATTAGACATGTAAGTCCTTTAACTTGTTGGTCGTTTGCGACTGTTGCTGAATTAAAAAGGTTGCTTAATGTTTCTTTAGCATGAGGACGAAGAAGCAGCTTGGTCATATTCATTTGGATCATAATATCTTGAATATGTATCTCGCACAACTTCAACGTACATGTTATGTATGATAATGCGAGTTATCATAATTTTTCCCAACATAGTAACATCCCTAGCTAGAGCACGATAATGAACTATTGCAAAACGATCTTGTAGTACTCCAAAAGCACATTCGCCATCTATGCTTTCGTCAACTCTCTTGTTTTTTTTTTGGCAAAAAAAACCCCTTTTCATTTTTGGGGAAAGGCATTGTGGGAATGAATGTCGCTAAAGGTAAGTGCCATCAGTGAGTTAATATCCTATATCATATGTCACCATTAACAACATACTTAACATGAGGTGCTCGATCTTCAAAAATATCATTAAATAATTGACATGGGTCGGACTAGGTCGTTGGACTAATACTCCCCTAGGCCAAACAAAATTTGTAAACACTTAACTAACCTAAGTACAAGTATAGAGGTAAGTCAAGGGTCGAACCCAAAGGAACGGTAATGTCTAAGTGCTTTCAATTATGTGCCTAAGCTAGGTCGAAGTCTAAGGATAAAAGGTGACACTAACAACTACTTAAACGAAGAAACCAAACAAATAAAGTGCTAGGGATTAGGATTCACATATAATAGCAATGAACATAGCAAATTGGGATAGAAAGTTGACTAAGTCGAGTGATGCGAGGGAAGGTCGATTATGCAATCAAGAAAGAGCATATCAAGATATTTTCCTAGAGGTCTAACTAGCGTCAACTACGAGAAACTCTAGCTAGGAACGTCGCAAGACAACTCAATCGACAAATGCAAGCCACAAATCAATTGTCCGTATCAATGTGAACCTACAATGCAATCTAGTGTGAATAGCTAGGGTGATCAAGCCTAAATCAAACACACACATGCACATAATTAATCAACCAATTTAATCACATCATCAACTCCATCAATTATCCCCAATTTACATCAACCCATCACATCATAAAAGCTTCACCATCACCCTAGCAAGCAAACTACTCTAACAACATCATCAAATCAACAAACAACTATAGAAAACAAGAATCAACACTCAAAGAAGAACAATTACTCTAATCAAAGATCAAAGATCAAAGATCAAAATCCAATCAAAACAAATCAAACAAACATGAATATTAGACAAAACAATAAATGAGATAGAGTTTAGAAATGTTCGTTGACAATAGAGAAGATCTCCAATACAATTGTCACCATTGAATCTTCAATCTCTCAATCACCATTGAAATTCCTCACTTTCTCTCTCTAAAATCTACTCCTAAAACTAACCCTAAAACTAGAGAGAGAAGCTCTCAACTAAGCTAAGAATATGTTCAAAATCCAATATGAAACTTATTCTATATTTGCCCCAAAAATCGGGTTACAAAGATATTTATAGAGGCGCAAAAAAACCAAAAACCGAGCAACAAATACCCAGGGGAGGCGCGCCCGCGCCACCTTGTGGTGCGTCTGCACCCGAGCTTTGCGCGCCCGCGCTTCACTGGGTTTCTTCGAAATTCTCGCGGCTTCGTGTGTTCGCTAAGGTCGCACGACTATGATGATGATGAACACTAGGAGTGGCAGTAGCTAAAGCTCTAGATTAGTGGGTACACCACTTCTTAATGGTAGCACGGTATGAGAGCGCAAGAGCCAAGACTTGGAATTTCCACTTCCTTGCATCTTGAGCTTTCAAAATGTCGTGAGCTTGCTCCAAAGGCTTTCTCCACCTTAGTAGATCACCAATATCAAGACCCAAACCTCGTACAATACCTACAACCACAGAAATAGAGCAAATAAAGGAGAAAATACTAGAAAACCAACGAAATGCACAAAAGCTACAAAATAAGAAAGGAAAGGTAAAACTAAGCAACAAAGCATAAAACTAAGCATTTATTAAGCAAGAAAGCTATGAAAAGAGGATGAAAACAACCTAAATACTCATCAAATGGGTGCCATTTATGACACCCATCAAATGCCCCCAAGCTTATCTTTTGCTCGTCCTCGAGCAAAACATAACCAAGGGATGGAAAATGATGAGCTTATTCAAACAAACTAAAGAAGAGAGGAGACAAGAATATGTACTAACTCACTTTTGTAGGAATCACCCTCAATTTTAGCAACTAAAGACAAGCCATTTAAACCCCTAGATCGCCGTAGAGGACGAGTGATGCTCTCATAAGGGTTTCCTAAGAGTTTAACCCATAACTCTCGTAATAATACAAACAAGGCAAATCATGAAAAACAAGTCAAAAGGAAAGAAAAACAAACAAATTTTCATAAAAGGACTTTTCCAAATGTACAAGCACAAATGAATGCAAATCTTTCTAAACAAGTAAGGGAGTGCACGTTCTAAGATACCCAAGGTTGATTGAAACATAAATATGCTAAGCATAGGAACTAGCTTTCGCAATCCACTTTCATCCCAAACGATCTTACCACGTTCTTCCTACTAGTCTCATATCAACCTCTAGTGAGCATCCCAATGATTCCTCGAAGGAACCGGAAAAAGAGAATTTTTTATGCTACTCGACATCTTGACTATTGTAGACACCCATTTGTGTCTCCCCAAAACCAAACCCAGTGATGAGTACCTTTAACGTCAAATCATAATCGAATGAAGTGAAAGTGTGAAAAGTTTAGTGTTGCGGATAGTTTTAATTTCTTTTCTCTTCTCTCTGTTTTTGAAAACTTATTTTAAGAAAACAGCCAATCCAGTTTTTTTGGTCCATGATATGGGTCCAATAGTAGTGTAGTTGGATGGGGCTTGACAAGAGCTTTCCAACGATATATTATAAGCCCAATT